GTGTTTCCCTCAGATGCAAATAAACTGCCCACTGTCTGTGCCAACATTCTGCTCAATTTACATTATAGACTCCGGCAAACAGGCAAAACAAATCTCCTTTGTCTAGAACAAACGTGTTTATCAAGTCTGCCCCAAAAAAGTATTTTAGGAACATATTTCCAGCACACACACACACACAACTCTTTACACGCCATCAGTACGCACCCCACGCCATGCTATTAATGAGCAGTGTGGCACCAGCTTTCATTTGACTCTACACATGACACTTTACAGAAAATACTATGATGGCAACGTGTGAAGTGTAGTGAGTGTGTCAGAGGTGGCAGGAGTTTGCAGAACAGTGGCCCTCTGCCAGTTGGCATTGAGGGACTCATAGGTTATGTCTGCACAGCAAAGAAAGTCCCACGGCTGGCCTGTGCCAGGCAACAGGGTCTGGGGGGCTGTTTCATTGCTGTGTAGACTTCTGGGCTTGGGCTGGCACCCGAGCTCTGGTACTCTCCTACCCTGCAGCGTCCTAGAGCCCAGGCTGCAGCCCAAGCCCAGAAGTCTACACAGCAATAAAATAGCCCTGCAAGCCTGAGTCAGCTGGCATGGGCCAGCCACGGGCATCTAGTTGCTGTGTAGACAAACCCTTAGGAGCCCAAGAGTATCTTGTTAATTAAGTCTAGGTTCTAGAAGGCATATTATGATTTTATTTGGGATGTAACCATTTGTTTCCAATACTTTCACGTGCTATTACTTGAATCTCAGGGCTTTGTTAAATAAACTTATCCCTGATTTCACTAGAAACCAATCTCAGTGCTGTGTGTTAGGCAGAGCGGGGAGCTGAGTAGGAACTCACAAGCTGTTTCTCTGGAAGCAGTGAATCTGTAAATACGACGATTGTCCAGTGAACCAGGGCTGGACCCTCCAGGGAGCTGCTTGCCGAGTTTGAGGGATAGCGTGTACCTATTGCTAAGCTGCAGCGAGAGCAGGGCCTTCCTCACGCTAAGGGCAGGTGGTACCCCCACCGCTATTTAGGTTGCCCTGCCCTTTCCCTTATAACAGCTTCTTGTGACCTTTCCTTTGAGAGGCTCTCACACCGCCATTGTTTGAAGTAGGTCTTTACTATTCAGTAGGGGGCAAGCACTCTGGCTTGAGAGGAGCTTTGGCTCTGTCCCACGCCATTCTGGCTGCTCTGATAGAAAGGGTTAAGAGGCACCATTTCCCTTCTTGCTTTTTCCTCAGGAGAGGTAGCAGCCAGAGTAGCCAAATACCCCACCACACCAAAGGTGAGCTCACCCCCCCACACACAATACTGGGGATATCCAGGAGCTGCCAGAGCCGCTGTAGGGGTTGGAGCGGTGGAGGAAGAGGCCACAAGAGCAAGGCTGGCTCAAGATCATAAGGGCTGGAGCAGCTCTACCTCCCCAAGGGAGCAAACTTGACACCCCCCCCCCACCCCCTTGGATCCAGCACATTGCCCAAGCAACCCATCCCACCTCTAGGGACACCATGGAGTGGGTGTGGGTATGGGCTGGAGCTCCCCCTACTTCAGGGGGGGAGGGGAGATCGAGGTCAAGTCAGGCTCCCCACAACCATTGCCCCAGACCCAGCAGCACTTCCATGGCTGGGATCTCAACCAACTTCTGCTTCCAGCTACTGTTGAGAGACAAGGTGGGTGAGGGAATATCTTTTATTGGACCAGCTTCGGAGGGGGCAGGGGGGAGAAGAGAAGCTTTCAAGCTTACACAGAGCTCTCCTTCAAGTACATTCTGTGTAAACTCAAAAGATTGTGTCTCAGATATCCTCGGACCACAGCAACACAGCATCCAGCTAATGTAGCTAGTCTTGTAGCAGGCTGGGCTGAAGGTTAAGGGGGCAAATGCTGCAGGCAATATTGGGGGTGGGGTACGGTTGTACAAAATAAACTTTTTATTTTAAAGGACCCCAGAGACCCAGCAGGGCAGAATGAACACTAACAAATCTGGCCTTTCCTAACCTTTCAAGAGACAGTTTCTAATTTAAATGTTCTTTTCATGTAGTTGTGGGCTGTGTATATTTTCCTACTGAACATGTAAATGATTACAAAGAGCAGTGGTTCTCAGATCAAGTACACCTCCCACCACTGGGTAATTTTGGAGGAGGTTTGGTTTTGAAATAAAAGTAAACTAAACTTGCTTGATTGTAGGTATTGCAGTGCCCCCTCTTGGATAGACTCAGAGCTACTAATCTCATGGGTGAGGCCTTTCTCAAAGATTGTCCTTCCACTCAAATGTTGATCCTGTGCGTTTGGAACCAGAAGATTAATTTTAGATGAACTCTTCCATACAGACAGCGACCTTGATGGTAGGAGACTGTCCATGGATGGCCACTGTATGAGACTCCCTCATGGGGTGGGGAGGGAAGAAGACAGGGACACTTCTCTCATTGGGTGAGCTGCTTGTTATCAGTAGAATGTTACCTGACTATAGTGAGGATCTGCTAACACCTTACAAACCACCATTATGCCACCACACGCTAGATAAACCGGGGTTTTTAAAGAAGGATGCAAACCACGCTAGCTAGTGCTCAGACAAGGGAGAGCCTTGTCCTGAAGAACTTTAGGCTCAATGTCTTAAACTGCCCTAATCTTCAAAACAATGGATCCAGCCCCAGCCACATTAAAGATCAAACATCAATCTCTGAACCACCACAAAAGCTGCGCTCTTCTGGGACAATGCAGCTCACAGCGCAGAATGAAGCATGAGAGCTGGGACAAAAAATTCTGTGCCTGAGGGATCCAGCTAGGGAGCAGTCTTCCAGAGAAGATTAGGTGAATTAAGACTAACTGCCTTGATGGAACATTGCAAAGAGAAGGCCTTTCCATCATAAGAATGACACACAACAGTAACTCCAGCCAAGCAGGAGTTACCCTGAAACAAACTAGCCTAAACACAGAGTAAATTAATAAAAATCTTAAATCAAACCACCCCCTACACTTAGAGTTTTGACCCCCAAAAGGGAGAAGAGACAAACTCCAAGAAATTCACTAGGAGCTTTGCTATTGAATTGAGGAGGAAGGTGCGCAGATACTACGGTGATGGAGAGACAGAAGAATCTGCACTCTAATTACACACAGAGGAGAGAAATGGAACAGCACAGCCTTTCCCCTCCCTGTATACAACTACTTCAGCATTTTAACACACAACTTTGCCCCATCTTTTTAACCCTCCACCTCCTGGATTAGGTTTTGGGGATTAAACTTTAAGCTATTGGCTCCTTGTGCATTACAGACACTTGCCAGCTATTTCCACTCCAACTCCACATCTCACCCTCGCTCTGCTTTGCACAGTAAGCCCACCACCCACTCCCTCCCCTCTGGGATTGACAGCAGGCACTGGCTGCTGAATAAGGAGGCAGCAGGATGAAGTTCTTGAGCCTGGGAAGGCGTGTGCACCTGCTGCTGCCCAACTCCCTCCGCAGAGGATCTCCGAGCCAGCCGCAGAGGCATAGGGGCCAAGACCTCCAAAGGGCCTGGCCCCCAAGTGGGAGCTCCTTCTCCTTTTATAAGTCAGTCCCATGAGGGGCTGGTCTGGCAGGAGTCAGTGTTAAAACTGAGAAAGGAAACTGAGGCACAGACTAGTGCTTGGTAAACCCCTCACAGCCAAGTCATGGCTGAGTGAGGAAAGGAGCCCAGGAGTACAGCACACAGCTGCGGTCCATGTGGCTCTCAGGGCCATACAGGTAGTATGTATGGATGTGGCCCACATAACACAGAGAGCTGCATATGCAGCCCACAATGATAAAAGGTTGAGAACCACTGGTCTAAAGATACATGATGACAAAGTTGGGGGGGGGGGGGGCGCGCACAAGGCAGGAGGGAGGGAGGGACCAAGAAAGATAATATGACTTACCAAGGTCACCCAGCCGATCAGTGCAGAGGTAGGATTAGAACCAAGGTCTGAGTCTTGATCCAGTGGTCTAGGCCTAGGCTCCAGAATTTCAACTTTCATTATAAAATTAAGTTCATGGTTGTGAAGGAAACTTTCAATCTGTGACCCAAGTACAACTGGTGTAGTGCCGTCTGCCTGAGTCTGCAGACAGCGTGCAACAGTAAGTTTGGGACACATCTGAACTGCTTCTACTCAGCTCCCTGGATAGTGATCTCTGAAGCCTAATAATCACCTTTAAACTGCCAGCATCATTAACTAATTCCCAGATGATCAGCGCAAACAGGTTGCGATGAGGGACAATCCTGTTAGGAAGACTGGAAACCTGTGTCCAGAGTAAATGGGCCATGGGAGCATACGACTACTGATTGTTCTCCAGGCTGAGCCCAAACAGACCATTCAACGTAAGCTGGTATCCTGTGCGCCTGCCTCGGTGCTGCATGTGAGAGGGAGGAGTTAGATTGGTCATTTACAGAGCCTGGAGCTCGGGCAGCAAATCTATCCACATGCCCCACTCCATGCCAACACACAAGACTATTGCAGTTCGGCCCAGGAAGGTTCTCTGAGAGGGCTGCACACACCAGACCTGTGCCCACACAGAGAAGGCATGTGACGGAGCAGCTGCTGAGGAGCCATGTGCCAGGAGCTTGGTGGGAACATGTGGTCTCTTGGCTGCACTTCCATGCCCTGTTTACAGCACACTGGGGGCTCGCCCAAGCTGGAGACTTCACATACCGAGGCCAGGGGGTCTTGTTAATCGCTTTTATTTTAGCGAGTGCTGTACACAGTCAACCTCAATCGCCCACCACCAGGTGCTCCCCATGCCCACTGTACACATCTGCTTTGCGCCCGCTGTGCTCCAGTGCTTGCCTCTGCGGGGCGAGGCCCAAATAAGTTACCCGTGTCCCCTGTGCTGTGTCCCCAGGCACCGGCGCTGGAGAGGGCCATGATCAGCCCTTGAATCTTGGTCCTCCCGGCGCTAGGGCAAAAAACACAAAGTCCCCTTGTGCCAGGGATAGTGTGATTTGGAAACAAAGTCACAAGGTGATGCCCCCTGCCTGTGCATCTCAGAGAAGATGGGCACCACTGCCCAAGAAACTGGTCTCATCCACTTTCCCAGGGCTGGGAGGTCTCAGCATGGCATGGCAGCCTCCGAGGGCAGAGGGGAGCACCTGCAGGGCAAGACCAACATGTTAGGAATGGGCTAATGCAGCAGCTGGGACATGGCCTCTGCAGGCCCCATGCTCTAACGCCCACTGTTCTGGGTTGGTAGCATTCAGGGGCTGCTCTTGCTTCATCTCCAGCTGATGTTACTGTCACAGACCACCTGCCACCCAGGAGTCATTTCCCCCCTCCCCGGCCCAGACCACGTCTGGTACAGGACGGAGCTATGCTGCTACAAGGGCCTCTTGCTTGGTACCATCAGGATGCGTTACAGCAACGTCCCTGGCCCCTCTGCATGTGACGACTCCCCCCACAGGCAGGTGCCAGGAGCCCCCACCAGAAAAGACAGACAACAAACCAGTCACTTGAAATGACTGGACCAAGGAGCCACCTTTGTGTAGGAGGAGCCAGGACGTCCCAGGGCGCCGGGACAGCTGTGTAATGCTGACAGCCTGGCCAAGCCACAAGCCACTCACAGAGCCCCAAAAGGCCACTGGGTTGGGCCAATGCTTGCCCACCCCCCTCATTTCTGCTACCATGTTGGGAGGTTTCTGAGCAGCCTGAAGGGCAAAGCTCAGAGTACCACAATACCAGACACCTCCCCAAGGATCCCAGCCCAACAGGTCTGGGGGCCCACCTCCCAGCATTACCCTTCGGCTCTTTCCCGCTTCGGAAGGTCTCTGCCTGGCTTATGTTCCTGACAGTAGAGCTAAGCCCCTTCCTGCCTCCTCAACAACCCAGGGCCAGCGACTGCCCCAGGCAGCTCTGGCACGCCTGCTGCGGGCAGCCATGGGCACTGGTCAGCACAACAGCTACTACAGCCTGGGCACTGCCAGTGCCCCAAGAGCCCCCCAGCACAGCCTGGGAGACCAGCACTCACTCCATCTTGGCCTCCAGGCGGTGGATGGTCTGCTTGTCCAGGTAGCGGCAGAACAAAGAGAGGAGGTTGCTGGGGAGGAAGAGAGGCTCCACCAGGGCAGTCTTGGGCACTTGGGACAGCTCCCTGGCAACCAAGAACACTGTGTCCGTCCTGGGGAGACAAACCCACCAGTGAGCACCTGGCTGCCCCCCCGCACCAGCCAACACGGCGTGCTGTGTGCTACCCAGCCACCCTCCCCCACGGGGCACCGCCTGGGCCAAACCCCTCCCCGTGGCACCTCACCACTTCTCGAAGTCCCCACTGTGCGGCTCCAGCGGCATGTCGGAGGAGAGCAGCCTCTCGCCGTGACTCAGCAGGGCATACAGAAGCGAGATCCCGAACTGCGGGGAAGCACAGGAGCGGCCATGGGTTAGAAACAGCAGCCACAGCCAGGCCAGGCCAAGCCCCAAGAGGGAGCATGTCCCCCATAGGGCCCAGCACCCACCCCAGAGAGCCCAGAGACAGGCGCAGAATCTCATCCACCAGGACAGCGCTGAGCTCACTGGCTTTCCCTCCTGGAGGCCCTTCTGGCCCCAACTTCCTGCCCCACCCAGCCCCACACACCTGGTTCTTAAAGGTCATGGTGAGCGGCAGCTCAGTGGAGCCGGCAAGCGGCCTGGTCAGCTCCTGCAGGACCTCGATGAGCTCGCTGAAGGTCATCCGGCCCACCATCTCGCTGAGGGGGCCGTACAGGACAGGCAGGGACTAAACACCAGCACGGAGAGAGGGAAGACAGCGCGGTTAAAACCAGCCCCCAGACCTGACACCATACAGGTGGGCTCAACTCCTACTCCCTGCTCTGGCATGTAATCGCAACAGCATCTGCTTGCAGGGGTGGGGGGAACGAACCCAACCTGCAGGGGGCACTGGGGAGCACTATCAAGTGCTCACTGGGGCCAGGAGACCTGCCCCTCCCAACTGAAACAGGCGAGCTCATGCTGGCAGCTGAAGGTGTAAACCAGGGGTAGGCAACCTTTCAGAAGTGGTGTGCCGAGTCTTCATTTATTCACTTTAATTTAAGGTTTCGTGTGCCGGTAATACATGTTAACGTTTTTTAGAAGGTCTCTCTTTAAGTCTGGGGGGTGTGTGGAGGTGCAGGGCAGAAGGCTGGGTGTTGGGGGGACTCGAGGTCAGGGCAGAGGGCTGGG